TGGAGTTGTTTGTGTCAGTGGGGATGGAATTTTGGTTGAGGTAGGTTTTTGTTGCCTATTTTTATTTATTGTTCTTTTACTGGTTGGTCGAGCCTATTGTCTTTTTGCGTTTGCGTAGTCATAGTTAGACAATTTTTCTCAAGAGCTTCTGTCATTGTATACTTGATGAAGGAAGGGCTTTACTTGTTTGTGGATTGGCGTTATGCTCTCTAGTTATAAAGCTCAATAGATATTTTTTTGATTTAAAATATAATTCCCACTAAAAGATGTGAAAGATGAAAGTATCATAGATATATGTAACACTCGCTCCTTCCCGGTGATGATATTTTTCAAGACATTGATTGATTAACTGTGATTCCAAAATTGACACTCAAGCACGAACCTTTTAAATTATTATCAATATAAGAGAAAGGGTATCACTGGATGTTTAAGCAAATTGATTTTCAAGATTCTTACAAGTTCAAAATGGTTTTGTGCTACCATGCTTCAAAATTTTCTCTTTCTTTCAAGCCGAGGGTCTATACTCTATTGGAGACGGAAACAACCTCTCTACCCCACGAAAGGTAGGATTAAGGTCTGCGTATATCCTACTCTCCGCTAACCCCACTTGTGGATCACACTGGGTATGTTGTTGTTATTCTTAACAAGTTCAAAATGAAAGAGGATCTCATGGATGAAAATTATTCTTAAAGAAGGCCAATAGGATTTTCAACATAGGGAAAAGCAACCAAACAATCAATGTTAAAGCACATATACATTACTATGTAGTTTTTCACTTAATATCCAAACCGACAACGGAGATGCACAAAAGAAAAAGTAGTTGCTTCATGAGCATGATATGCTTAAGCTCAAACGTTTTTTTGTAGTGAATGGATGATAAACATATCAGGTGATCCCTCACGGTCACACTCTTTTTTCAACTTTTAGTAGGTAGTTAATGGACTACTTGAAAGGGAGGATTGGGATTCTGCAATAAAGATGCCTCTTGGAGTAGTACCTGCAGGTTTGTCTCCTTTCCTCTATTGCTATTTTTTTTTTTTTGATAAACACTAAGCTGGTTTTGCATGTTTTGATTAGCTTTTTTTACATGTTTATACCACATAGAATTTTCAGACAAGTAATGAAAGGTACAACATGCAGCCACACATTTCTATTACCTGTACATGTAGGCTAGACATTCTCTTAACACATGACGTGTCAGCAAATATAAAAAAATTCAGGGATAGGTAAGTTAGACATGATGCAACTTGTTCCAGCAACAAAACATTAGTGTCAACTAAACAATCCTTCACCTCAAGGACTTTTAAGGATAAGTAAGATGCTACACAACCTGTTCCAGGGAGAAAATGATGGTGCAACTAATCGATCATATATAGAGGCTGAGAATGGATCATTTTTAAGCTTTAGTCTGTTGTTTCATACTAGTTTTAGTTTATCTGGCGACTGGTGGGAAGCCGAGCTGTTATGTCAATCACATCATGCACGCTGTTGTTTGGTAGAGGTTAGCTGGATGAAATCAGATTTGCCCCGTAATATTACATAAGTACCTCCCTGATTTGTTTGGGAAATAAACTGGGATAAATATCGGTGGAATTAATGAGTGTAAAATCGCCTAAACACTTGTAGTTTTTATGGACTACTGTTTGGTCCATGTTTTAAGATTGCTCGTCACTGTAATTCGACATTTTTTCAGATCAGGCCTGGTTTTCTTTATTTGTCACAAGTTCCTAATGCATTGGAAACCACATAAAATAAGATGCGTGATTTGTGAATTGTTTTTTCTAATGTACTAAGTGATAGTTTTCAAAAGTAAACATATTAGAATCAAGGTTTGGAATCATAATTTATATCTCAACATATTATTGGATGCCATGAATGCACAGACAGTGGACACCAATGTTTAAAACATAACTCTCGATTAATCAAGGTCTGTACTTCCAACAAAAGGAATTCACCAAGCTAACGTGTATTAGTTTCGCTACGCATTATGTCTAATCTTGGTAAACTAGTTTTAACTGTTTGAAGATATTTGGCTTCTAACTTGTGAACTCAGAGCTACTTCGGTGTCTAATGATTTTGGTTTATGTGTGCCTTCGACATCATTGGCTTTTGGTTGATTTTTTTACATTATGATTTGCATGGTCGTTGGTTAGTAACTTTTAGGAAAAGCTTAGTATGTAGAAACCCTTTCAGTTTCTTTATAATTGTGAGTCATAATGTTAATACAGGCACCGGAAACGGCATGGCAAAGTCTCTTCTAGATGCTGTTGGTCTTCCTTGTACTGCGTCCAATGCAACACTTGCTATTATTAGAGGTGGAGAATTACTAGGCTTTTGGAAGAAAAAAACCTGTAGTTTCTGCATGGTGAAGTTTCAATTACTCTTTCTTTCTCAATTACGGCTAAGAAGCTTCGTTTCTTGCAGGGCACAAGCAAGCACTAGATGTAGCTACTATTACACAGGGGCAGAATAGGTTTTTTAGTGTGCTGATGCTTGCCTGGGGTATTACATCTTCTATTCTTTCCTGTGGTTTCAACGACACTGATTTGAGTTCGTCCTATAATTAAGTACTTAACGAATCAGAATAGACAATTATAGCTGATATTTATATTGACTGAAGATTTCTTGTTTTCCAGGACTTATAGCTGATATTGATATCGAGTCTGAGAAGTATAGATGGATGGGTAGTGCTCGAATAGATTATTATGTACGTTTCGCATTCTGTTTCCTTTGAGTTTAGTGATTATTCTCTTACCTCTAAATGTCAAATTGGATTTTGTTCGTATCATCATATTTGATGGCATGACAGCTCATACTGCTTTAAGGTAGTGGTACCGGGTACTTTAAGTACACGGGTTGCCTAAAGCATCATCATTATGCTCCTTAATCTCTAGTCCAATACTATTTGGCCAGGCAATACAACGAATATTTCGCCTTAGGAGGTACAATGGATGTATAAAATTTGTGGCAGCACCAGGCTATGAAACTTTTGGAGAACCAGCTGACCCGGAAGGTGAAACTATTAGTGAAGTTAAATCGAGTTTCGTTCAGCATGAGGGATATTGTGGTCCTGCTTTGCAGAAGAAGGATTTCAACCGTAAGATTGAGGGGCCTTTTGTATCAGTTTGGCTTCATAATGTACCTTGGGGAGGTGAAGATACTCTCGCAGCACCTGACGCCAAGGTTGGTTTTTGTTACTTTGAACATAACTTAATTGGTACCTATTAGTACATGTTTTACTTGAAAGGCGGAGCCATGACATAACTGGTAAAGTTGTAGCCATGCGATTAGAAGGTCAATGGCTCGAGTTGTAGAAGGGTAAGACAACTACGTACAATAGACCCTTGTGGTCCACCCTTCCCTGAACCTGCGCATAACTTGGATCTTTTACTTGTAGAAAAACCTAAATTATACCTTGGTACTTTTGCAGTTTTCAGATGGTTACTTGGACTTGGTCGTGATAAAGGACTGTCCAAAGTTAACGTTGCTATCATTGATGACCGAGTTGAGCAAAGGCGACCATGTAAAATCACCACATGTCTTGTACTTCAAGGTAGAGTTATCGTTTCATCCTTAAGCTTCCATTTTGCAAGCTCTCGTCTCTTAAGCAAACTCTCTCTTTTTTGTGTTACTTTTTGAAATATATCGATGTTGTTTCATTTGATTAGTTAATTATTTTGTCTCAACACCCCCCTCATGTGTTGTGCTGATTCTTCTTCATGGACCGAACTCATGAAGTATCGTTTGATTTTGGTGTGACTATGAGATATGAACTGACATACCTCTTTCTTGCTCTGATACCATGATTACCATCAACTCTTTTAGTTAATTTAATATCATCTCAACAGAACTCCATGCATGTGATGTGTTGAAACTACTGATAAAATGCATGTTTTATATAAAATTAATTCGAACGCAAAAATAAGGTTGTTGATTATTGTAAAACAATTACAGGTTAAAGCGTTTGTTCTTGAGCCTGGCACACAATTAGATGATGGATCAAAAGAAGGGATTATAGATGTAGATGGTGAGGTTCTTGCAAGAGGTAAAGGAACTTACAAGTCAAATTACAAGACATTGATGACATATGACAAACTCTATATAAAAGTAGATCAAGGGTTGGCTACTGTTTTTTCTCCTAGTACCATTTCTTAAAAACATTTTTGGCTGTATTTTTTTCTTGAAGGAGATTTTTTTTTATTTTTTTATTAAACAAAGTCATGTATGTACTATGATAATAAACAAGGGTAAATAAAAGAAAGAATAAAGAAGTATTAGAACACAGTAGGGCCTAATCGGGGGTGATGTTCCCAACATGATTTTCTTCATATTTGGGGCTCAAACCTGAGACCTCTACTTAAGGGTGAAACAATATTACTAATCATGTTGGTTATTAGAAATGTTTTGATATTTTATACAGTGTAGTTATCTTTTATTTTCAACTATTAATATTAGATTTTTGTTTGTATACGTAACATCGATCTAAATTTCACATCTCATCACCAATATTCATTGATTTTATCTAGAGATTTATTACGTGCCACCAACCTCGTCCGAGTATTTATAATTATTGAAGTCTCATAATGAAACACATGACTTTTTGTTTGTGAAATCACCAAGTACGGGTCGGGTCGGGCCCTACACCATGGCCCTCCATTTTCATACTAACCACACAAATCATTGTTCATTGACACTGATACATTTTTGGCACGAGAAGAAACAAGTGTTTTGGCGTGCCAAAAATTTTGACTTGAAAATCAAGAAATTTCATACTCTCTTTCATTTTAATTTATTTATCTTATTTTTTTAAAATATTTTTTTCTTTAACAAAAACTTTTTAGTTTCTTTTTTTCACGTGACATATTTGAAACCACAAAATTAAAAGACATCTAAATACATTCTACATATCTTTAGTTCAAGACCACAAGATTTAAAAATCTCTATTACTTTCTTAAATTTCATGTCAAGTCAAAATTAGACAAACAAATTGAAACTGAGACTGAGAGAATAATGTACTAACTGAATTTTCATTTATCTCAAGTTTAACCCTCTTCAATAATAGAATATATTGCAATTCTATATACACAAACTCTAGCCCTATTTGCACTATTTCCCCCCCTATATATACACACACATTCACAAAAAATAAAATAATTTTTTTCCTTTTCTAACAAATAAAAAAAATAGTATAAATTGCTAAATTAACTTAAACTCCACGATTAATCATCTCCATGTATTGTTGTAATGACTGTTCTCTTTGTAATCTCATTTCTTCATTGAATTTTTTAATAAATGCTTCAACTCGCCGGTTTAGCTCATCTTGACTCGGTGATGGTTCAAGTGCTTTTTTTATATTTTGAACCGGGGATTCACTTCCCCGGTTCTGGTTCTGGTTCTGATGTTGCCACGTGTCTACCTTGTTCAGGTGCCTCGTGAGAGGCACGTGACGCCCTTCCGTTATTTTCTTCCATGTACTCTCTAATGTCTCTTGCCTTTTTACTCTAGCTACCCTTAGTGATTTCACCCCTGAAAAATTCAATTATTTACGAAATTAGCATTAAACATAAGACCGAATATATTGACAACCTTTTAAACGTATATATTTATTTAAATACTATGATCAATTTCAATTGAATATCTATATGTTACGGATCAAAAACATACTTCGAAACACACATAAAATATGAATTATTCATTTCTTCTATTTAGTTTATGTGTGTTTATATGATAATTCAGATAACAAACTCAAAATATCGAGATATTTTAGGTATGGTTTTTAATCCTTTACTTTGAACCTAAACACATTATGATTAACTTATCTACATCATAAACGTAAGTTGTACATGAGATCTTACAAGTCACAACTATAATTAAGGGAAGTGATATTAAGTAATTAACTTATAACATTTGAAAAGATCTTTTCGAAAGTTAATTTAAATATATGTGATAGAAATACTTTATTATGTATTTGGATGCGCAATCGGAACGGAGTAATGTAATAAAAAAAAATTGATAGATTTTTCGTACCTTCAGGACTCGTCCTCATCAGCGGTTTCCGATGACTGAACCTCGAAGAGACTAGCGGTTTCTCAGTCGTTAGCCGTTGAATTAGCTCCGTTTCTACTTCAGGCAACGGCGTAAAAATCGAATTCGAACTCACAAATTCATCATTTTCACCTTCGTCTTCATTCACTACAGTCACCATAGACTTTACTTCAACCACCTCCAGCGGTTCATTTACCGGTTCAGTCTTCTCCTCAAACACTTCCGGTTCATCTACCAGTCCCGGCGCATACTCACACATCTCCGATCTGGAAATCGTTACCAAATCTGAGTTCACCGGAGGCGTTCCGGCAGAAATCAACGGCATCACCTCAAACGCCTCTGGTTCATCAACCAGTTCCGGCTCATACTCCGACATTTTAGATCTGAAAATCGTTACCAAATCTGAGTTCACCGGAGGCGTTCCGGCAGAAATCAACGGCATCACCTCAAACGCCTCTGGTTCATCAACCAGTTCCGGCTCATACTCCGACATTTTAGATCTGAAAATCGTTACCAAATCTGAGTTCACCGGAGGCGTTCCGGCAGAAATCAACGGCGTAACCTCAAACACCTCCGGTTCGTCAACCAGTTCCGGCGCATACTCCGACATTTTAGATCTGGAAATCGTTACCAAATCTGAGTACACCGGAGGTGTTCCGGCAGAAATTAAGGACCGCGATTGCTCGCCGGATTGTTGTTGTTCCTTACGATTTGATCGAGAAGTAGCGGCGATGATGATGATTATACCGTTGAGTAAAATGTAGAGGTACGGAGGCTTTAACCATGAAATCAAACCGGACCAAATCGTAGGAAATTCATATAAAATCAACGGAACAGAGGATTTAATTGCAATGGCTGAAGAAACTGCTCCGATTGAAATTAACAGAAATTTCACCGTTAACATCAAATTGCTCGTCGATGATTCCATTTTCTTCGATTTTGTTTGATAATTCTTAGCAAAATGGTTGTTTATGTGTGTGAGAATTTAGAGCGTAGAAGATTGAAATTGCAGAGTTGGTTGAGAGTGAGGAGTTACCAATTACCACTATAAATAAGCGGTCAGAAGCATGCAATGTTTATTTTTAGAAATTTAAAATTCCAATTTATTCAAAAAATTAAAAAATTAATTGAATCTTCAAATTTATTAGGTAAAAATAATAAAAAAGATAACGTATAAATTGAGGACGCGTATTTTTATTGGATATGATGAGATATGAGCCGTTGGATCAAAGAAAGTAAGCAAGGGAAGCTTCTTTTCTTGTATTTTTCTCATTAGTAATTATGGTTATTGGATTAATGATAATATTTTACTTTATTCATGCATGTATTTAACCTAGGTTAATTTTTTAATCACGATATGATATTAAAGTTAGACTCCTTTTAATTCATTGATTACGTAATATCAACCTTCATTTCATATTGTCTAAACTTCAAATGTCTAGTTTTAACGTGTGACGAGGTGTTGAGTTTCCACGTCTATGCTTAGGGGTAAGATGGTTTCTTTTTATAGTTTTGAATAACCTTTGCTTCATGAACTAATTTTTGGCGTTGAGTTAGATATAAGATCTATTCTTTTATCGATTATTAAGAGGCATGGAGGTTATATTATATTATATGATTTTGAATAATTCTTATATTTTGTGTTAGTTTTGTGATTAACTTAGGCTTAAAAGTTTATTTCTTTAACGTGGTATTAAAATAGTTTATTTATTTGGTGTATAATTATTAATTTAGATTGACCAAATCAAATTTTAATTTGAACGTTAGTGGGCGGAAGGTGTGTAGTATTATTTGGGAACCCGTGGCTATGGCTGCGCCGATATTATGTGGTCTGGTTGGCTGCCTTCGGGCCGACAATTTGACTTTTTGTGCACATTGGTCAAACAAAATACAAACAACTGTGTATTATATTTGTTCTAACTTTTTTGAAATAATTTGGTTGATTATAAAGTTTTTAAGGGAAAAAATGGAATTCACATATGATAAACATGAAAATATTAACATATCATATCATATCATATGTTTATAAACATACCTTTATAAGAAGTAGGGTCTCTATATTAGGGAGATCAAACATTTCCTAAAAGAATATTTTAAGACGGATTTACGATTTTAAGTTTAAGAAATATTTGTGTATATACTTTACTCTTTCTTAATATTATTTGTGGGACAATATTAGATATATTATTTGAGAGGCTTGTATCTCTGCTCCTGAAATGTTCATGGTTCAATCTAGTTTAATTTTAACTATCCTAATAAAATAAAATTCAATGAATGTATTTGGTGTTTATACAAAGAAAATCAAACAAAATAGAATTGGTGTTTACTTGAGAAAATCAAATTTACTACGTTTGGAACATTTATCTCTTTTTTATACAATGTTGAAACAAGATAAAATAAATAAACAATCCCTTAAAAAGAATGACACCTGTTAGTGAAAACTTACAAGATAACAAAAATACAAGATTACAATTGAAAATAAAATGAAGAAAATAAATCTCTTCAGGCTGAGGCGCGGATATCTCGCTCTCTTTAAGGAGATTCAAGCCCACTGCAGCAAATGTTTTTCACCGGTCCAGCAGTAGTCCTTCTT